AGTAAATCATAAGCAAATTTATAGCAATTTTCCAGGCAAATTTGCCTGGAATTGTCTACAGTTTAAGGGATAATGTTTTATTATATTTAATTCTGCATTTTTAAATAATAATTTTGCATTTACAATGACTGAAGCTAATAGCAATATTGGGCTGACTCATCAGAATTTACAAGAGAATGATAATAAAATTAATGAAAAAATTATAAATATTGATAAATGGCAGAGATACAGAAGTAGTTTGTGATTCGGGTTTAGAATATCCAATTATCATTTATGAGATTGCAAAAAAATTGGGTTTGAAAAAAGATAAAAGTTTACCCAATATTATTGATAAAGCTATATCTCATATCATTAAACAGATATTGAATAAAAAAAATTCAGATTTCTCTCTGCCAATTACTATAGATAGTGAAACCCAAAATTTAGCAAGATATTATAAACTTGATAATGAACTCTGATATTTCTCGGCAATGTAAGGCTAAAAGAAAGTGCAAAGCTAGAAAAAAACTAAATTTTAATGATACTGCATCCGAATCCTTATCTTCATCCGAATTTGGGTCTGACTCTGAATTGTATAATAATAATAAAGATTTTATTGTAAATATGGTGAAAGCAAAGAAATACAATTAGTAATTGTATAGATCTATAATATCTGATATCTCAGTATTTTCTTCTTGAGTCGCTAGAATAATTGGCCTATCATTCATTATACTATAATGCTCGACCAATAAAGCATAACCTATTTTATACCTACATGCCAATTGTCGCAAATATTGATAACTAGAATTATTTCTACCTTCATGTACTCTGGAAGCATGATCAGCTCCTATTTTTCTTAATATAAATGAGATAATTCTTTGGCGACTTAAGAATTGATTAAGTGGTACAACATTAGTATTTTCATCCTTATCTTTTAACAAGAAGGAAAATTTATCCAGTATTAATCTCTGAATTCAGATAAGTAATTTTCTTGCTTGTATTGAATTTTTTTCTATTAAAAAAAATGGCCTGAGTTCTTCTACTTTATCTTTGTTTTTTGCATAACTAAGACAATACCAAGAATAGTCAGGATTATACTATAATTTACAACTTGGTCTGTATCAATTGATACTAAAATTTTTTATATCTACTAATCGCATATATAGTATTATTATTATATCTATTAGATTTTGTATTGAAGAAGGCTTGTTAATATTATATTATTAAGTCTTTTCCAAATAAAAAAACTTGGGACAATCATAACCATTAATTCTATAAAGTATATATTTTCTTGCTTGAATCTGATTTGCTTCTTCAATAACAAAGAGTATTTTTATTGCCTCAGTAATGAGATAATTTTTTTTTTTTTATATTGCCAAACATAGAAACTTTATTAGTCATAATAAACACCTTTTTACAGAGCAATTGATATACAGTTTCTAATTACATTTGTGCTACTATTACTAGTCACCCAATGTG